TATCTATCTATAACAGATTCCACGATGTTAGCCAAAAACGAAAAAACGGTATAATTATCATTTAAGGTCAATACCCCAAATAAAGAGTCGACTGACAATTTCAAACATTTGCAGATCATGTCTAGTTGATCATTTCCTCATTTTACAGTTTCTCTCTATCTATATTAGCCGTCAGAATTAAAGTCAATAACAAAAAATGGGAAAAATATTAATTGAAAACTATAATACCTATAGGTCTCGAATGTCGGTTTCAGTCATTTGATTTACTTAGAATATGTAGATCTTTTTCAGCTGATTATAGTTTGGTCTTAAATGCAAAACATGGCACGAAAGTTATTTTTTTTATTCTTTTATTTTAATAATATTTAAGAGCAATAAAGCTCATAAGGAGTCCGCTGATAATTTTGGGATAAAATTGAGAATGGAAATGGGGAATATGTCAAAGAAACAACAACCCGGCCAAAGAGCAGACAACAGCTTAAGGCCACCAATGGGTCCTCAACGCAGCGAGAAAAACCCCGCACCCGGAGGCGGTCCCCAGCCGGCCCCTAAATAAAAACGTGCACCAGTTCACCGAAAATGGACGTCATACCAAACTCCAAAACATATAAATGAACCAAAATTAAAAAACATACAAGACCAACAAAGGCTAGAGGCTCCCGACTTGGGACAGGCGCAAAAATGGGGCGGGGTAAAACATGTTTTTTGAGATCTCAACCCTCCCCCTATACCTCTAGCCAATGTAGAATATAGGAACACACAGCGATACGTACAGTAAAACTCAGTTTAAAAGAAGTCCGAGTCCGATGTCAGAATAGGTAACAAAAGGAACTAAGCAAAATGACAATGATACATAAATTAACAAAGGACTACTAGCAGTTACTGACATACCAGTTCCAGACCTCAATTAAACTGATTGAAAGATTATGTCTTCATCATATGAAAATCAAGTACAATCCCTCCCGTTAGGGGTTTAGTATCATACCATCATAAAATATATGAGAAGAACATAACCCGTATCATGCCAACAACTAGTTTTAGAATAAATGTGTTTATTTCCGATGCAAAACCCCATGAGTGAATCAATATTAATACCAAAATATGCAATCCTTAATGACTTGACAACAGTATCGTAACTATATCCCTTCCGAATAAGTCTGTTTAAAGGTTTGGTTAGCTTTTGAGGTGAATGCCGACATTTTTGTGCTTTGTAAAGAATATTACCATAAAAGATTGGATGTGAAATACCTGAACGTATAAGATGTCTGCATGTTAATTCATATTTACGAATGATATCCTTGTACCGATGATAAAATTAAGTAAATGTTTTAAGACAGACAGCTAGATACCATAAACATACTATGTGATTAAGTAGGACACTCTGACCCTTTGACCAGACTAGAGACATCATAAATTTACAGTATAAATAGCTCACTCTTTATTTAAGTCTTAGTAATAAACAATTAAAACAGTATTATCTTCTCTGTTGTCTTAAATTATTTTAATCAACTTAATTTTCAATTAGCAAATAAAATTGGTTTGACTAGTTTGTGATATCGAAAACCCTGGTGTAATAATTTTTCATTAATACAGTGATTTCTTTCGTTAAAATCAAATACGCTGTTACATACACGAGCGAATCAAACAAGTTGAGATATATAAACACCATAAGATGGTGACAAGGGAACGTCACCATCTAAAAATGGATAATTAACAATAGGAAATGAAAAATCATCTCTTTTATCATAAATTTTGGTATTAAGCTTCCCGTTAAAGATATAGATATCAAGATCCAGGAAAGGGCAGCGTTCATTGTTATTATTAGCTTTATTTAAGGTCAGTTCGGCAGGATAAATCTCTTTAGTGTACATACTGATGTCGTCATTATTGAGAGCCAATATATCATCTAAATATCTAAAAGTATTTGAATCAGATGTTGTTTCGATGGGTCTTTGCTGATTTTAGTCATAAACTGTAACTCATAACAATACAGAAACAGGTCCGCAATATGTGGTGCACAATTAGTCCCCATGGGAATTCCAATAACTTGACGATATACGGAATCTCCATAGCGAACAAAAATGTTACGTAAATGTTATCTAGTAATAATTCAAGGGCAGTAATAGTATCAAAGCAGGTCCAATTGACATAGTTCTTGTGTTTGTTGTTACTAAAAAATGACCTAAAAGAGTTTGAACATATATATTCGCATTCTGACTTTTTAAATGCCCATTTAATCAGGTGTGTTAATTTTTTTCTTAATAAGATCATGAGGCAAAGTAGTATATAGGATAGAAAAATCAAAACTTTGAACAGATTCGAAATCACAAATATAAGCATGCAATTTATCAAGTACTTTCAACGAATTTTTGACACTTTAAAAGTAATAAATTCCACTATTTTCAATGGCCTTATTTGAACAATTTATCACCAGGTTTTTGATTGTACCAAGTGTACTAGTAAGTAGAATAGATAGTTTAGTAGTGGAACAATGACTTGAAGACGAAAAAAAAATCTATATTTGTAAGGAGTTTTGTGCAGCTTCGGAAGCCAGTACATAGTTGGAACTTTCATTGTATTTGGTTCTGCTTGTAAAGAGGTAGCTAAAAGTTTATGTTTGTTACAGATGTAATTTTCTGAAAATGAAGTCAGTTGGAATGTTGGTGAATTCGTGATTTCCTTTTTCAGAACCTCAATGTTAAATTTACGTCAAACAATAATGATATTGTTATCAGCCTTATCAGCCGGAACAAAAACAAATTCCTTGGCGAGTTCTTTAAGCTTATGTTTCATACGAGAAATAGGTCTATTATGGTTGTTGTTAGGAGTAAAATGTTCTTTAAAATGTTGAATGCATATATCAACTATGTTCATTATAGAATTAAAAAAAAAGAATCTAATGATTTCTTGTCAGTTTTTCTCGTTTTATCCATTTAGAGCAGTAAGTACGGAGTGAGTCGTGGATGATGTTACGACACTCATTCCAATTAATAATTGACGGGGAACGATTTTTAGGTCCTTTACTGAGGAATGGTTTCAACTCTCGGTCACGAACGATGTTAAGGTCTCCTGTTATAACATGGGAACTGGGGCCATTAATGTATTCGGAATTACTACAATTTCATGACGCAGGTGTATTGTCACTGATATTAACATCTTGACACACTTCGCTGCAATTAAACACATATTTCCGGGTAGATTTTGTGTATACATAACAAATATGAGGGAGTTCAGTATTATCAAAATGGCCAGGAATTTGTTCTTTAACAGAATGATCAAAAAAAAATCAAAACCTTTATTGGCATATTTAATTTTAATAAAATGTTTTTTGTGATCTTCAGAGCGATCAATTTTGGGAAACAATTTAGATAACAATATGCAATTATAATTTGGACGATTTCATACTTAGGACTGCAATATGGAATTGTGTTGCATTCCTTCAAAATTTGATGTAATTAATTAACAGATAAAGAACAGAGCTTGGTTAACAGATAATGTGTACCGTTGTTTTTTTTTTAAATAGAAATTAGGTCCGAAATATTTGTATTGTTGGTACGAAATTTTCAATGATTGTGATTTATTCTATGCCCATGAGAACGGTTTTTACGAACTGGTTTAGAAATTATATCCAAAATATTAACAGAATCTGTTCTTGATATATTACCAATTCCCATGATATTGTCATTAAGACTGAGAGGATAGACTGTCTGTAATTTTTTAATCCAATTTAATTCAATAATTTTCCATGATCGTACAAATTTTCAATGAGATTCCCCAGGCTGCCTATTAACTACTTCTAAATGTCATTTTTTGGCATGACACTTATAGATAGAAGGGTAACCACGATTTTTGTTATTAAAAATGTTAGCGATTGTAGTATTTTTAGATAAGCGATTTTGAAGATTGAGACGTGTAGATATCCTTTGAACGAGTTTAGTATTTAGTATTTTTCCATTTCGAAGTTTCATTATTTGTTTTTTGTTATCCGTTTTTTCCAATTGAAAGGAACAAAGAATGGCGTACAGAATATGAACCAGCACACAGGAAGAAAATAAAGTAAAAAAAGATAAAACTGTTCGGCTAAAGACGTCAAACGCTATCCGTCATCAAGTACCCGACATAATACGTTAACAACAAAACATGAGGACAACAAACAAAAGACCGTGTATATCAGGATAGCGCCTGACGTCTGACTCAATACAGGCTGACTCAATAAAGGTAGACAATACGGAGCAAAATAGACACAGAGGCAAAATGACATATTATATGGTGAGTCCACTTATTCAGCAACAAGACTACTGGGACCGCTAAATAGCTAAATATTTTCTCTAGAGAGTAATGAAGAAGAATTACGAATCATCATTTATTCTTAAAGATACATATTGGTTGAAGTTTTAGTTATAAATAATAAAACATTACTAAAATCGAGGTTTCTTAAATAATGGGACACATACAATAAGACCCTTTCAGCTTTTAAAATGAAGTAAATCATCGCTTCAAGAGATTTAATACGTCGTTGTTACGTATAGCAAAATACCCAACTTTTAAGTAATATTAGCATCATCTGTTGTGGTTCAATTCGTCATGTATCTATAGTATGCATGGTACAGAACTGTGCATAAAACAAGATGCCCTATCTGTATACGTACAGTAAATATTATATTTAAATTCCAAACTACCTATAAGAGAACTGTAAGTTCGTCAGTAAGATCAGGATATAAATTTCATATAAAAAAAAATTTTTTTTTTAAATCTACTAACTAATCGAATATCGTTAACATGTTTTTTTATGGACAGTCTTCGTTTCATTTATATATTTCTATTCTTTATAATAAAAGTGCAAGTGATATAATCTGTTCGTGCTCAATTCCGCAAGAACTAGGATAAGATTGAGAACGAACTTTGAACAATTTGTCGAAATAGATAAGAAACGTCTTAATGTAATATAGGGTCAAATGCCTCAGATTTTTATCTAATCTTTTCTTGTAAACTTACATAATAGAAGGATTCCAACATGCACGTTCCGATCTTCATTTTTGTTTTTACAGTTTCATACAGTTCAGGTAATTATAACATTTTTAGTTATTCATTAGAAAATATGAAAACTCCTATTTACAAGAGACGTAAATGTGATAGAAAATATAACGTTCTCCGAATTCTCGTTTTCGTTGTTTTGGGACTTATTTGGGGTTTGTTTTTTTTTTGCAGGATTTTGTTTGATTTGTTAGAACAGATGCTTGTTAGTGTAAAACAACAACGATTGAAAAAAAAATGTTAACCACTGTTTCTTGAAAAATTCTTGATATACACATAAAACATGAAAATACCAACAAATTCTAGCTACAATTACACGATAAATTAAAAAAGATTGTCATCTCCATTTCTATCAGAATAAATTATAATATATATCACTCTTTATTAACACTATCTATTAACTTTTTATCATGATATATTACTTCTGTCAACTTTAGTTCATATTGGCCACATAGTTTGCTTTTACATTTTCAGGATTCATTTTGGACCAACTTCCACAAGTTGGAACTCAAATCGATCATCAAATCAACAGACACATTTGTTATGGCGACTTAGGTTGTTTCAGTACTGAAGCACCATTTCGGAGTGCACAGCGACCGATAGTACTTCTTCCTGACACCCCTGATAAAATACAGACAAAGTTTGAACTCCATACAAGGTCACATATATTATCTTTCTTTGTATCATGTTAACATTACTTTCTAATTTTGCGTGAATGGTATTGCATATGTCAAAATATATTAAATAAACATTAAAGCCCTTTTTATATAAACATCTAAAATATGATTTACTCATAAGACGCAAACTTATTATCTCAAGAAGTATTAAAAAAAGCTAGCATTATCCTTTAATTTTAAGATCCATGCTATAGATAATGGCCTCTCACTAATTATGAATGATTAAAAGTTTGGTAACTTTTTTGATCTCGTCTATTCCAATGAAATTCATAAAGACCACAGATACAGTTAAAATGAAAATCGTCTTCATAGCTTGACTAACAACTAGAAATTGACGATGAGGGTCGGTTAGAAATACACTTTACAAGAAAAAAATTATTTGAATTTCCAAAGTGAGAGCTATGCATTTCTATGTAGCAACATTACAGCAGCACCTGCATATGGAATATATTCCTTATAGATGATACGATATTCCAAGGCTTGCGTTAACTATCATAAATTCTTTAATAAGAGTGTTGCTTATGGCTGGAAAGCCGTTAAACAAAGAGTTCTTAATGGTAAAGTTGAATCCCTTCGAAAGTTTTACGGACGACATCTTGATTGGTTTAATGTTAAGGAATATTTGTGTTGCAGATATCTACGTATACTAGTATGCTCATAATGTCGTATCCACAGTCCGGACAGCCTTTCGCAAAAAAATCTTAAGACTAAAATTTATTGCAGGGTTCTGAATTTTTCATGACTTACTATCAATGTTAGTCGTTCGTTTTTTGTGAAACGCGGGTCAGCTGTTTTTTTCCTCGACTTTGACGTCTCCGAATGCAACTCACCACTGTGACCCGATCTTTCTTCCCATTAGCAACACAACGGGTTTCACAAGTAGAGTAGGACTGTCTATTTTTTCAGAGCACTCAGGCCGGTTCAACTCTGATGTTGGTTGAGTTCATTTAGTATAATCTTTGCTTTATTGTGCAATGTTTGCGGACTGTTTTCTTTTCGAAGTTTCTGTCTTGATCATGGTGATCCAAAATTAGACACCCTTTCATTTTTTCAGATATGTGTATTAAGCGGCATAACTCAATACCAGGCAGCCGCTGACAGAAACCTTTCTAAATTAAATTATAACTATTACTATAATTAAATAATGAATACGACACAGCTCAGAACATTTAGTTTCATAGAATTCGATTGGACATTCGGAAACATGCGTGGAAAATGATTAACATGCATATAATTGCTTATAACGTTTTTTTTCTTGCAATAATTTGAGAACTACCACATTGAAAAATATGTTTTTCTGTTTGACCCCTACAAAATAAAATTATAATTTAAAAAACACATGAGGCTCAATCTTTTGTCTGAACTGTACGAAATTGCATTCGTCAGAAAACAATATGAGCTTGTAGTTCATTATTTTAGGAGTAAACCATCAACAGCAGATGAGCAAATACTGGATTATAAGAATGTATCCTCTATCAGGGCCTCCAGTTTTGATGGATCAAAGAAAACGAAAATAATTATTCATGGCTATACTCATAACGGTCACCGACAATGGCTTCAAAACATGGCCAGAGCATTTTTAAAAAAGGTACAAAATTTATATTAGCATGTCAATAAAACCATTATATAAACAAGTAAAACCAATAATGAGTAGTTATGGGTGTTTTGTTTGTGAGAGAGCTGTATCCACTTCATTTGAACTTGGGTGGATAGTTGTCTCATTGACAATCATACCACATCTCCTTATTTTTATATACAAAAAGAAATTATTAGTAAGTGCAAGAACTGACTTACTTATGGCATTGCAAAAGACTGCAATGGTCATTAATTTTCTCTTTGAAAGATACTTTGAAGAATAGAGGTCTATCTATGAATGTAAGACGGTTGATTTCTATATTGGCAAAATATGTTATTTGATCTAACTTTTGAGCAACTTCAGATATCATACGGTAATCTTTAGTTTTCCTCAGCTTGTATCTGTGTGTTCGTGTGTAATATTAATACTGATAATATTGATGATATTTATTCTGAGGGCTTTTTCTGAACTGATTTTTCTTGTGCTTCCTTCTCTGTGCTTTTGTTAATCTATTGATCATTCGAGATTAAAAATGGGGAATTCAAGTACTTAAAAAACCAATTTAACCTCTAAAGTCACTGTTTCAAAGCAAGTCACAAAAACACTGGGAGAAGCGGTTGCGCGTAATTCAAATTACCAGTTCCTCAAGATGGAAGACGCTGAAACCGATGAATTAATTGTTTGAAAAGGCCGTCGGACTTTAGAGCAATCGCGGATCGACTACGTGTCAGTAAAACAAAATTTCGAAAGCCTATTATCTCTCTATTCTTTCAGGAAGACATGAACGTAATCATTGTTGACTGGGGACATGGAGCAGTACCACCATACACTGAAGCTGCTGCTAATACAAGGGTTGTAGGGGCACAGGTCGCTAAACTAATTAGTGTAATGGTGGCGGAAGATCAGTCTGGAATGGATACATTCCATTTGATTGGTCATAGCTTAGGTGCACATGTTGCAGGTTATGCTGGTGAAAGGTTGACACACTTGCCAAGAATTTCAGGTAAGATTATTTTCCTTCTCCGTCTACAATTTACCTCCAAAGAGTGATATATTTGTTTATCTGCAGTACTTTAAAAAATACTTTATCTTATGATGTGCGAATGGAAACACCTAAATTTATATCTTAAAAATATCAGACCCTTTCGATCATTGTCTATAAGTCCTATTAATTGCTTATTTTAACCATTTGATTTTGGTTTTTTGGTTGGTCTTCAGTATTATACTTTAAAACATCTTGCAGTTATCCCATTTTGAGGGTTAAGAAATATTTACTTCAAAGTGAAAAAGTTGACTCTTCAAAAAAATGTTTAGCCCAGTAGACCAACCTTCAATACTGGCATGAACATATAGAAATTGTTTTATTGATATTTGCTGAACATAAAATATTTAGGAAATCATTTGAAATTAAGGAATGTATCTCCCTTATTCGAAGACCGGACATGAATGGCTATACTTTATGTCCCTTTTGGTTATGTCTGCTCTTTAACTTTGTATTCGGTTTTGGATTTTCAAACATTTAGGCCTTGAGCATCACTGAAAAGACATAAATAATCATTATAGTAGAAAGACGAAAACAAATGGTACCGTGTAATGTTATTTAAAAGATCAGCCTTCTTTAGTCGTTGTATAGACGAGTTGATGGTATAAAGGCCTATCATGCAAAAGGAACAAAAAGGGAGATTTGTGATAATAAGTCACACCAATTGTGCCACTGCAATACATGTATATTATGTAAAATTGTTGAAAAATCTCATAAGATAAATATGTAAGCTCTTTTAGAGAATAATTCATACTAGGTTTCACCATCTTTCGCATTTTGACCAAATAAATTAAACAAGATCTAACTTTTGTTACGTTTATTCTTCAGCTCTTGACCCAGCGGACCCTTACTTTCAAGGAACAGATAGCAAAGTCAGACTGGATCCAACTGACGCTGACTTTGTTGATGTTATTCATACAGATGGTTCCAACATTTTAAGTCTGGGAATGGGAGCAGCTCAAGCAATGGGACACGTAGATTTTTATCCGAACGGCGGTTCTGATCAGCCTGGTTGTCCTGCTGGGCTTCTTTCCAAGATTACTCAAACAGTTTGGAATTCTGTCTCGCAACTGGATCTTTTGGGTATTTTTTTCATAGTTGAGTTTAACTGATTAATACAAATACATACATTACACTGTTAGCTTATTGTTGACTTTTTTTGTGAGTTATTAGTGAAGTAATAACCTGTCTATTTATAACATAAAATGCCTTAAGGCTGTTTTTTTTAAGAATCCATGTCATAGAAAAAGCGTAAATTATTTCATTTTCACGAGGGATTTATTCAATTAGCGAGAAGAAAAATAATGCGAATTTAAATAAAATGCCGCGACTACACTTGGATCTTCTCCTGGCGGGAATAAGTAAGAACAGGGAAAATCTCGAAAAATTAATCACCGCGAAAAAGAAAAAAAAACACAACAGAAACCGCGAAAAATAGTTGTTTTACAGTAATCTCTAGATTATTTTTTCTCGTAAATTAAAATAAAATCGCTACGGGAATACAATGCCTTGGACTGTATGTTGCCACAAACATCATCAACGTCTGAATCTGAAAGTGTAAAGATTACTAGATAATTTATTATAATGCTATAAACTCGATCATGGAAAGGGTTGATATCAATATTCGATCATAGAACGATTAATTGTACCTACAGATGCTTCAAAAATACCCAAAAAACAAACTTTTTTTTATTGAATGTAGTAAATTAGTTATGCAATATAATCTCTTTCAGCCGGTGAAGGTTCTGTGGCTTGTAGTCATGAAAGGTCGTATATCTATTATACTGAATCTATTCTCTCTACCTGTCCATTTATGGGATATCCGTGTACTGGTCCGAGTACACAGTTATTTCGTAGTGCATTTCTTTTAGAGAATAAATGAAAATTAAAAAAATCCCACCTGCGCTTTCTCAATAATATTTTTACAGTGTGTTGTACTACTTTTGGGACAAATTATATCAAAATTATAGAAAACTTCATCGGCTCTAACTCAAAATATGGACAATTTCATGTTAAGGGGGTCTTCAAATCTTTTGACAGCTTCCGAAGTGCTAATTTTTAACATTTTTCAGCTGGACCAAATTACTACTTAACTTTAAAATTCATGACCCAAATTTTTTTACAGTGTCATTTCACCCCCTTACTTACTATTTGAGTCATAAAACATGGAGAAATAAATTTGGAAGGGGTATAAAAAAAATCGACAAGTAACACACTGTCCACACTAGGGACTATATTTGTGGACAACGAAAATCAAAGGACGATAACTGTGTACCCGGACCTATTAGGGTAGAAAAAGTTGACCAATCTTAATGAAACTTGGTATGACCAAAGCTTATTAAATTATAAGACTGCTTACAAAGTTTCATGGCAATAGGATATATATTATAGACAATATGACTAATTCTATATTCAACTTTGCGTGTTAAATTTAGACGTTAAAATTGAAAATTTTCAACTATCAACATTTGGGGCTTAAAAAATTAAAATATTGCAAAAAAATACTTTTGAAATGCCTTAATATATAATATATTATATATTAAAAGCAATAGAGTACTCATTTGATTTATCAGACTTATCATAATTATTAAAAAGTCAAATTTATATGAGCCTGTGGCTAAAAATGGAGGTGTTTCAATGAAGGGGGGCCTTACTTGAAGATGTAATATTTACCAGCAATTTTAAATTTGTAAAGCTTTTTGGTTATAAATAATCCTTACATATGTATTTAATGTACTATAAATGGAAAGAAAACTTACAAATAACATATCACATTAGTTTAAAAGGGTCTTAGGCCAAGTAAGACTGAAAATAATTTAGGGTCAATTTAGGCCGTATCACATATTTACATTTAAAAATGCATATTGAAGCTATAGGAAATAAAATTTTGTGTCTTTTCTATCATTTTTATACTCAGGTGACATGATACAATAAATCTGAGCACAAAAAGACTCTTGCATTCAACTTTTTTTGCAGACAGTATGGTCTGATACAAAGATTTTTCACTTTTTAGTGAAAAACATGCATGCAATTTTAGTCTCAACAGGCTTATATTTGAACCACTTGCTATCCTACAGAAGAAAAGAAAGATATTATGTGACATAAAACAGGTACAAAAGACATTGTTAAGTGCTTTTTATACAAATTTAGTGAGGTCTTTTTAATGGACTTCAACTTTTATATTCAAAGCTGCTCACATTTAACTTGATCCAAACAGGGCGTTAGATGAGGATCATATATACAACACATTTTGCACATATTGTCCGAGATAATCTTCTTTTCTGTAGATTCAGAGTTCACAAATGAGTAATACAACTGGATTGAAGCATAGAAACACAAATATTGACACATAAAAACCTGTCAGATAGAAAGTCAGAATGCCACTTATGCATCAAAATTGAAAAAGCTATGAAATGCTTATTTTGACCATAAAATGCCAAAATTGGTCATTTTTGCAGAAATTCTATCAAATAAAAGTTTAAATCCTTTAGTTTTATGCTATTTGATAAATTGACACCATCAAATCATTCAGGGAAGTTGCCAAAGTACAGATTCTATATTTCCTGATTTCACCTCTTAGGTCCGAGTACACAGTTATTTCGTAGTGCATTTCTTTTAGAGAATAAATGAAAATTAAAAAAATCCCACCTGCGCTTTCTCAATAATATTTTTACAGTGTGTTGTACTACTTTTGGGACAAATTATATCAAAATTATAGAAAACTTCATCGGCTCTAACTCAAAATATGGACAATTTCATGTTAAGGGGGTCTTCAAATCTTTTGACAGCTTCCGAAGTGCTAATTTTTAACATTTTTCAGCTGGACCAAATTACTACTTAACTTTAAAATTCATGACCCAAATTTTTTTACAGTGTCATTTCACCCCCTTACTTACTATTTGAGTCATAAAACATGGAGAAATAAATTTGGAAGGGGTATAAAAAAAATCGACAAGTAACACACTGTCCACACTAGGGACTATATTTGTGGACAACGAAAATCAAAGGACGATAACTGTGTACCCGGACCTATTAGGGTAGAAAAAGTTGACCAATCTTAATGAAACTTGGTATGACCAAAGCTTATTAAATTATAAGACTGCTTACAAAGTTTCATGGCAATAGGATATATATTATAGACAATATGACTAATTCTATATTCAACTTTGCGTGTTAAATTTAGACGTTAAAATTGAAAATTTTCAACTATCAACATTTGGGGCTTAAAAAATTAAAATATTGCAAAAAAATACTTTTGAAATGCCTTAATATATAATATATTATATATTAAAAGCAATAGAGTACTCATTTGATTTATCAGACTTATCATAATTATTAAAAAGTCAAATTTATATGAGCCTGTGGCTAAAAATGGAGGTGTTTCAATGAAGGGGGGCCTTACTTGAAGATGTAATATTTACCAGCAATTTTAAATTTGTAAAGCTTTTTGGTTATAAATAATCCTTACATATGTATTTAATGTACTATAAATGGAAAGAAAACTTACAAATAACATATCACATTAGTTTAAAAGGGTCTTAGGCCAAGTAAGACTGAAAATAATTTAGGGTCAATTTAGGCCGTATCACATATTTACATTTAAAAATGCATATTGAAGCTATAGGAAATAAAATTTTGTGTCTTTTCTATCATTTTTATACTCAGGTGACATGATACAATAAATCTGAGCACAAAAAGACTCTTGCATTCAACTTTTTTTGCAGACAGTATGGTCTGATACAAAGATTTTTCACTTTTTAGTGAAAAACATGCATGCAATTTTAGTCTCAACAGGCTTATATTTGAACCACTTGCTATCCTACAGAAGAAAAGAAAGATATTATGTGACATAAAACAGGTACAAAAGACATTGTTAAGTGCTTTTTATACAAATTTAGTGAGGTCTTTTTAATGGACTTCAACTTTTATATTCAAAGCTGCTCACATTTAACTTGATCCAAACAGGGCGTTAGATGAGGATCATATATACAACACATTTTGCACATATTGTCCGAGATAATCTTCTTTTCTGTAGATTCAGAGTTCACAAATGAGTAATACAACTGGATTGAAGCATAGAAACACAAATATTGACACATAAAAACCTGTCAGATAGAAAGTCAGAATGCCACTTATGCATCAAAATTGAAAAAGCTATGAAATGCTTATTTTGACCATAAAATGCCAAAATTGGTCATTTTTGCAGAAATTCTATCAAATAAAAGTTTAAATCCTTTAGTTTTATGCTATTTGATAAATTGACACCATCAAATCATTCAGGGAAGTTGCCAAAGTACAGATTCTATATTTCCTGATTTCACCTCTTAGGTCCGAGTACACAGTTATTTCGTAGTGCATTTCTTTTAGAGAATAAATGAAAATTAAAAAAATCCCACCTGCGCTTTCTCAATAATATTTTTACAGTGTGTTGTACTACTTTTGGGACAAATTATATCAAAATTATAGAAAACTTCATCGGCTCTAACTCAAAATATGGACAATTTCATGTTAAGGGGGTCTTCAAATCTTTTGACAGCTTCCGAAGTGCTAATTTTTAACATTTTTCAGCTGGACCAAATTACTACTTAACTTTAAAATTCATGACCCAAATTTTTTTACAGTGTCATTTCACCCCCTTACTTACTATTTGAGTCATAAAACATGGAGAAATAAATTTGGAAGGGGTATAAAAAAAATCGACAAGTAACACACTGTCCACACTAGGGACTATATTTGTGGACAACGAAAATCAAAGGACGATAACTGTGTACCCGGACCTATTAGGGTAGAAAAAGTTGACCAATCTTAATGAAACTTGGTATGACCAAAGCTTATTAAATTATAAGACTGCTTACAAAGTTTCATGGCAATAGGATATATATTATAGACAATATGACTAATTCTATATTCAACTTTGCGTGTTAAATTTAGACGTTAAAATTGAAAATTTTCAACTATCAACATTTGGGGCTTAAAAAATTAAAATATTGCAAAAAAATACTTTTGAAATGCCTTAATATATAATATATTATATATTAAAAGCAATAGAGTACTCATTTGATTTATCAGACTTATCATAATTATTAAAAAGTCAAATTTATATGAGCCTGTGGCTAAAAATGGAGGTGTTTCAATGAAGGGGGGCCTTACTTGAAGATGTAATATTTACCAGCAATTTTAAATTTGTAAAGCTTTTTGGTTATAAATAATCCTTACATATGTATTTAATGTACTATAAATGGAAAGAAAACTTACAAATAACATATCACATTAGTTTAAAAGGGTCTTAGGCCAAGTAAGACTGAAAATAATTTAGGGTCAATTTAGGCCGTATCACATATTTACATTTAAAAATGCATATTGAAGCTATAGGAAATAAAATTTTGTGTCTTTTCTATCATTTTTATACTCAGGTGACATGATACAATAAATCTGAGCACAAAAAGACTCTTGCATTCAACTTTTTTTGCAGACAGTATGGTCTGATACAAAGATTTTTCACTTTTTAGTGAAAAACATGCATGCAATTTTAGTCTCAACAGGCTTATATTTGAACCACTTGCTATCCTACAGAAGAAAAGAAAGATATTATGTGACATAAAACAGGTACAAAAGACATTGTTAAGTGCTTTTTATACAAATTTAGTGAGGTCTTTTTAATGGACTTCAACTTTTATATTCAAAGCTGCTCACATTTAACTTGATCCAAACAGGGCGTTAGATGAGGATCATATATACAACACATTTTGCACATATTGTCCGAGATAATCTTCTTTTCTGTAGATTCAGAGTTCACAAATGAGTAATACAACTGGATTGAAGCATAGAAACACAAATATTGACACATAAAAACCTGTCAGATAGAAAGTCAGAATGCCACTTATGCATCAAAATTGAAAAAGCTATGAAATGCTTATTTTGACCATAAAATGCCAAAATTGGTCATTTTTGCAGAAATTCTATCAAATAAAAGTTTAAATCCTTTAGTTTTATGCTATTTGATAAATTGACACCATCAAATCATTCAGGGAAGTTGCCAAAGTACAGATTCTATATTTCCTGATTTCACCTCTTAGGTCCGAGTACACAGTTATTTCGTAGTGCATTTCTTTTAGAGAATAAATGAAAATTAAAAAAATCCCACCTGCGCTTTCTCAATAATATTTTTACAGTGTGTTGTACTACTTTTGGGACAAATTATATCAAAATTATAGAAAACTTCATCGGCTCTAACTCAAAATATGGACAATTTCATGTTAAGGGGGTCTTCAAATCTTTTGACAGCTTCCGAAGTGCTAATTTTTAACATTTTTCAGCTGGACCAAATTACTACTTAACTTTAAAATTCATGACCCAAATTTTTTTACAGTGTCATTTCACCCCCTTACTTACTATTTGAGTCATAAAACATGGAGAAATAAATTTGGAAGGGGTATAAAAAAAATCGACAAGTAACACACTGTCCACACTAGGGACTATATTTGTGGACAACGAAAATCAAAGGACGATAACTGTGTACCCGGACCTATTAGGGTAGAAAAAGTTGACCAATCTTAATGAAACTTGGTATGACCAAAGCTTATTAAATTATAAGACTGCTTACAAAGTTTCATGGCAATAGGATATATATTATAGACAATATGACTAATTCTATATTCAACTTTGCGTGTTAAATTTAGACGTTAAAATTGAAAATTTTCAACTATCAACATTTGGGGCTTAAAAAATTAAAATATTGCAAAAAAATACTTTTGAAATGCCTTAATATATAATATATTATATATTAAAAGCAATAGAGTACTCATTTGATTTATCAGACTTATCATAATTATTAAAAAGTCAAATTTATATGAGCCTGTGGCTAAAAATGGAGGTGTTTCAATGAAGGGGGGCCTTACTTGAAGATGTAATATTTACCAGCAATTTTAAATTTGTAAAGCTTTTTGGTTATAAATAATCCTTACATATGTATTTAATGTACTATAAATGGAAAGAAAACTTACAAATAACATATCACATTAGTTTAAAAGGGTCTTAGGCCAAGTAAGACTGAAAATAATTTAGGGTCAATTTAGGCCGTATCACATATTTACATTTAAAAATGCATATTGAAGCTATAGGAAATAAAATTTTGTGTCTTTTCTATCATTTTTATACTCAGGTGACATGATACAATAAATCTGAGCACAAAAAGACTCTTGCATTCAACTTTTTTTGCAGACAGTATGGTCTGATACAAAGATTTTTCACTTTTTAGTGAAAAACATGCATGCAATTTTAGTCTCAACAGGCTTATATTTGAACCACTTGCTATCCTACAGAAGAAAAGAAAGATATTATGTGACATAAAACAGGTACAAAAGACATTGTTAAGTGCTTTTTATACAAATTTAGTGAGGTCTTTTTAATGGACTTCAACTTTTATATTCAAAGCTGCTCACATTTAACTTGATCCAAACAGGGCGTTAGATGAGGATCATATATACAACACATTTTGCACATATTGTCCGAGATAATCTTCTTTTCTGTAGATTCAGAGTTCACAAATGAGTAATACAACTGGATTGAAGCATAGAAACACAAATATTGACACATAAAAACCTGTCAGATAGAAAGTCAGAATGCCACTTATGCATCAAAATTGAAAAAGCTATGAAATGCTTATTTTGACCATAAAATGCCAAAATTGGTCATTTTTGCAGAAATTCTATCAAATAAAAGTTTAAATCCTTTAGTTTTATGCTATTTGATAAATTGACACCATCAAATCATTCAGGGAAGTTGCCAAAGTACAGATTCTATATTTCCTGATTTCACCTCTTAGGTCCGAGTACACAGTTATTTCGTAGTGCATTTCTTTTAGAGAATAAATGAAAATTAAAAAAATCCCACCTGCGCTTTCTCAATAATATTTTTACAGTGTGTTGTACTACTTTTGGGACAAATTATATCAAAATTATAGAAAACTTCATCGGCTCTAACTCAAAATATGGACAATTTCATGTTAAGGGGGTCTTCAAATCTTTTGACAGCTTCCGAAGTGCTAATTTTTAACATTTTTCAGCTGGACCAAATTACTACTTAACTTTAAAATTCATGACCCAAATTTTTTTACAGTGTCATTTCACCCCCTTACTTACTATTTGAGTCATAAAACATGGAGAAATAAATTTGGAAGGGGTATAAAAAAAATCGACAAGTAACACACTGTCCACACTAGGGACTATATTTGTGGACAACGAAAATCAAAGGACGATAACTGTGTACCCGGACATATCAATATTCGATCATAGAACGATTAATTGTACCTACAGATGCTTCAAAAATACCCAAAAAACAAACTTTTTTTTATTGAATGTAGTAAATTAGTTATGCAATATAATCTCTTTCAGCCGGTGAAGGTTCTGTGGCTTGTAGTCATGAAAGGTCGTATATCTATTATACTGAATCTATTCTCTCTACCTGTCCATTTATGGGATATCCGTGTACTAGTAAAGACGAATTTGCCAAGGGTCATTGTTTGTATTGTGATGGCGGTTGTTCTTACATGGGATATAATGCTGATAAGTCAACTTCTCGTGGAAGTATGTATCTAAGTACACAAGGTGCACCACCATACTGCAGTAAGTATTTTAATAAACAATCTGAGTATATTTTTTTACTGATGAGTACTGGATTTATGAATCTAAATAACTGACCACCGATAGATTTTTTTAAGGAAATTAAGGCACATCTCTCTTTTACAAGCTGGTTATAAAACAGTCATGGTCGAGGTTCCAGACTTTCTATATTACTTTGAACGTGTCTTCATGAAAATTCTTTTAATAAGCTAGTTTGCCAGACAATTTATTATCTATACAAAATGTAATAAAATAATAAGCAATATATATTACAAATTATATTTCACCCAAACATTGCCTCGATAGAATTACCATTGATAGACTCTTCTACGTTGTTATCTCCTTATATAATGGGATAAACGGACTCGACACCTTGGTGTATGTAGAATTGCCCTAGTTCAACGATCATCCAAAACGATGTTATGTGGTTACTTGTCTTCTAAAATCACACTGGTGCTTAATATTTTCATTCTAAATTGAAATCTCAAAATTTCAGACTATCATTACCAACTGAATATAACAGCAAATAACAGTATGGACGGGAAATTGACAGTTGTTCTACAAGGAACAAAAGGAAACACAGATGCTATTTCATTGACGCCGTAAGTCAGATATGTATTTAGATTTTACTTTTTATTCTTTTGGTTTACGTGTCTTGAATGTATATAATTGGATTTCTATATGCTTAAAATAATACGAAATTCTTTCAAATGGCAATAACTTATATTTACTGATTAATGAGCATTGTGAAAGTGAAAAGGGGAAATGTTAGCATTGGTTATAAATCAAGTAAATGACGTCATAGAATAAATATTGTGAAGTTCTTACAAAGGTTTGGTCTTTAATTTAATATTTCTATAATAGTCTTAAAAGATAAAACTCCGGGAAATTTTGTACTTAATCTCACTATTCCGGCGACAATTCAAATTCAAACGGATGCAAATGTTAGAGTCTGGGAAAACAGCATATATAACGGGCATTATAATAACATATTTGTATATGTTTTTAAGGAAAGAGGGAATCGATGGAAGAAAAATAAACGAACGCGGAAGATAGATGGTATTATTTAACCGATTCTGAAAAAAAAGAAAGAAAAAAGGAAAGAAAAAAAAGATACATCAAATCATTTAACAACGGTTACGACAAAGTTTATTTAACAAATGGGAACGCTTGAAAATATTTTCAAAGAACATAATAAACATTGCTCTATAATTAATCTCACTTATTATACACGTGCTCACCTCACCATCCCTGATTCTGTGTTGATTGTTTACCAAGGTCACGATCGGTAAACTTCGGCACAAAAACCTAAAAATACGTTATGGATTCGTAATAAACGTTTAAAAAAAGTGACACAGAGGACATAGTTTGGTATATAGGCATGCAATAAACAGACTATACTTATAATGTATAAATTTCACTGAAGCAATTTCTCTCGTTTCAGAAAAGAAGACGTACTTTCACATGGCAATACAATGACTAAATTTTTTACAATTAACAAGGATATTGGAAATGTCACTGCTGTAGCTTTAAGATATGATAAAACAGCAAACCTTTTGCTTGGATGGGCTTATCCAAATGCATGGTCACTCATGGGATTGTCCTTGCTAGAAGCTGAAAAACACCGCATGTAAGTCCAATTAACACGAACATATAGAGCGGCTTTCTACTATATGAATATTTTTATAAAATCATTTGAACTTGATGAACTCATATATTTCTAATTCATCGAGTGTGTGTGCGCACTTATTTGATATAAATATCTAAACTCATGAAAAAACTTTCAATAATATTTTTATGGAAACATGCGAATACTCATTCAAATGACTGGTTTAGAATTACTTATTTTGAGAAAAAATCACTCGGATTCAAAACTGAATACACCGAAAATAATATCAAAATGCTGGAATGTTTGGTCGATAACATATTTGTTGAATTTCTTCGTTGATTGACGGAAAGTCTGTATTCCATTTTGGTACTAATGGTGCATTCCTACTGCAAACTAGTTTTTGGTACTAATGGTGCATTCCTACTGCAAACTAGTTTTTGGTACTAATGGTGCATTCCTACTGCAAACTAGTGTTTGGTACTAATGGTGCATTCCTACTGCAAACTAGTTTTTGGTACTAATGGTGCATTCCTACTGCAAACTAGTTTTTGGTACTAATGGTGCATTCCTACTGCAAACTAGTTTTTGGTACTAATGGTGCATTCCTACTGCAAACTAGTTTTTGGTACTAATGGTGCATTCCTACTGCAAACTAGTTTTTGGTACTTATGGTGCATTCCTACTGCAAACTAGTTTTTGGTACTAATGGTGCATTCCTACTGCAAACTAGTTTTTGTATCCATATGAAGCAGAATTATTAAAAAAAATCTCAAAGATGTGAATTTAAAAAAAAATCTTTCAAAGTTCTTTAATTTCACTTACATACCATATATTCCAGCAAACTTGAGATCAATGATGCTAGAAACTAGAAGGACTGATTCATGTCTAGATCTTTTCCTCGATATTGACAGAGCTGAACAACTTCAAACTAGAACGTATGACAAACGTGATTATTTCAGCTTTCCAATCGTCAACTTCTGATTTCTCAGCAGTAACATTCCCTTTTCGTATGGCGTTTACATATTTCAACAGAAACGTTACGCTCGTGCATGTTCACACTATAGGGACTTCATTTGCCGGGTGTGCTCACAAACACAACAAACTGTTAACACAGATATATGTCTCGACTTATTGTAATTTTGATAATGCAAATGTTGAAATTGAAATAGCAATACTTTTTAACGTGTAAGTTATGCAAATATTCAAAGTCAATGAACCATGACTGAAGGTTCATGGCTTAGCAATCTCCATGGAAATGAGATGTACCAATTATTGCTAATACAACTGCATACCAAATACCATTGACTTATCATAAGTCGTTCCCTTTAAACAAACCTAAACCTAAACATTAACTTGTAAACTATGTAAAAGTTTTAAAGTCAATGGACCATGATGAGGGGGTGGGGCTATGTATCTTCCTGAAAACGAGACTTGCAAATGCCATTAAATTTGCATACCAAATATCATTTACTTAACATTAGCGGTTCTTCTTAAACTGATCTAATCACAAACAAATACATGTAAACTAAGCAAAAGTTTCACAGTCAATAGACCATGACTGAGGGGACGGGGCTAAATATCATCCATGGAAATGAGATGTACTAATGCTTATACAACTGCATACCAATTAACATTGGCCTACCACTAATAGTTCCCCTTGAACTGACCTAATCACAAACTAATACATGTAAACTAAGCAAAAGTTTCAAAGTCAATAGACCATGACTGAGGGGGCAGGGCCAAATAATCTCCATGGAAATGAGATGTGCCAATGCTAATACAACTGCCTACCAAATATCATGGACCTACCACTAGTGGTTCACCATAAACTAGACCTAATCACAAACTAATACATTGTTGACGCCGCCGCCGCCGCCGCCGCCGACACCGGAAACAGCATACCTGTGTCTCACTTTTTGACTCCGTCAAGGCGAGATAAAAACTGCTCCAAAAGAGTTATGAGGAAGAACGACTAAAATCGAGACTACAACAGTTTTACGATCAACATCCCGAATTGGTTGACCGATACGAATTGTCTGTTTCTCAAATCACTAGCGACATGTTTTCGCAGATCTTAAGATACTAGAATAGTCGTTTAATATGTAATTTTATTGATTGTGTCTTATTCCCGATTGTGACATTTTGACTGAGTGTGGATTCGCTTGGCTGGTGATTCATGCATAGCAGGAGACGCTTACTTGTCGACGCACCCGGTCCGCTCCTTTTGGAGTTCATATGATTCCCTCAGTTTGTGTCTGTAACCATGATTTGTCTTCCTTATTGATTTATTTGATTCGAACATCGGTAAACTACTGTCTTAATTAGACAAATATTAGCTCAAATTAATGTGATGCAATGATGTTATTTAGAAAAACTTTATTTTTGTGTCCTATAGCTATGTATTTTCATTTATTCTAGGGACCAGTTTTGTGCCTATGGTAAAAGTGTTCAAAATCATGGAGCAACGTCAATGGGGTTAATGGGAACATGTTAAAATCACCATAAATAAAACGTCTAGAAGTTACTCATGTTACTGACAATAAATTTTCTTTAGGTCCAAATATATCATGTTTATTTTCATTCATTTTTCTTCTTTTTTTACTTCTTCGTCCCCTACTAGTATTGTTGTTGTAACAGAAATGCATAATCTGCGGTCATAAGAGAGTCAATGGTAGTTCATATATAATGAATGCTAATTAAGTGTACTAGAGTGCTCATAATAATATTCTACATTTACAAGCTCATTTGTCTGCAGACAGTTTTCATGTTAGTTGTTCTAAGAGCTTTGCCATATGATCTAATGGTAAATCTATATTTCTCCTCAATGTATTATCAACAGAAACGTTTTAATAATGATGGAATAGATATTAGTTATACTTAAGAAAAGTTCATTATTAGTTTTCACAATGACATTTATTTAAGATCCTTCACGTATGAATTATCTGAGAACCAATTGATGCTTCAAATCCATATTAATAAAGCTTAATTCTCAAAATCGTTTGAATAATTTCTAGCTATAACAACGTTATATTGCTGGGTCTTCCAAGTGCTCCACGAAACCTCTTTCCAAATTTTTAACATCAATTTTATTAGAAAACAAAACCGTGCTCTTAGGTAATTGTGAAACTTATTACTCTAGGGGGGCGTGAATCAGATGTGGATACTAATATATTCCAAAGATCTGTTAGAATACATACAATCTAAGTCTCATTAAGATACTTGATTTCTTGACTGCCAACATACCGATATGTGTTACGTGGTTTCAACAAACACTCGGTATTCTCATGGGACTTCTTCCGACTTGTTTCTTTATTCGTAAAGGCTGACTTCATACAGGAGCTTCTTATAAAGAATGAAAAGCAGCTAGCATTATCCTTTACGTGACTTCATTTTCTGCTTTATTGATGATGTCCTGTCACTAAATGATTCAAAGTTTGATGATTATGTTGAACGCATCTATGCCAACTTAAAATAAAGGATACAACAGAAACAGTGCAGTCTGCATCATATCTTGACTAAACCTAGAAGTTGACAAAACGGGTCGTTTGAGAACAAAACTTTACGACAAAAGAGATGATTTCATCTTCCCAATTGTTAACGTTACATTCTATGTAGCAACATTCAAGCAGCACCTGCATATGAAGTATACATTTGTATATCTCCCAGTTGATACGATATTCTAGAGCTTGCATTTCCTATCATGATTTCCTTGATAGAGTTTCTGCTCGGGAGGAAGCTTTTCAACCAAATGGTAATGTTCAAATCATCCCTTCAAAAATTTTACGGACGCCATCTCGAGCTGGTTGACCGTTATGGAATAGCTGTTTCACAGATGATGACGGATATGTTCAACTGAATTCTCTTAACCAAAATCCTGTCCTCTTTTCCTCAAATGGGACCTACCGAATTAGACTCATCACCGAGTGTGTACTTACATGAGCAACACGACAGGTGCCATATGTGCAGTAGGATCTGCTTAATGTTCCGGAGCACCTGATATCACCCTATTTTTTTTAAATGAGGTTCGTGTTGCTTAATCTGCTTTAGTTTAAAGTGTTGTTCTTGTGGGTTTTTTTTATATTTCATTCTTTTGGTGTTATTTATACTGGTAACAGTCTTTTTCTCCGTTGTCAAGAAAAACGTGTTTTATTTTAAAATTTCACACTCGGTAAAGTTCCATATTGCAAAATATTTTCATCGTAGCTCTCATGAATCATGAAACCATGCAGGAGCTATTTAAACTGCTCGGGTAAAAAAGGTTGCTCCAGGAGATTGAAATAGTGGTTTTGGATTTTCAAATATTTTGGCCAAGAGCATCGCTGAAGAGATATTAACTGTCGAAATGCGCATATAGTGCAGTGAAATTGGTACCGTTTATGTTATTTGACCCAACATTGATTCAGTCATTACTTCAAAAACACGATTGTTAACCTTTATATCGTTTAAGCAAAACAACGGATGTATGTAGGAGGGAATCTCTTGAGGGTCCGTTACTATCATATTTCAGTTTTGTTTTGAAGTGTTTGTTCGGACAGCAGATAGCTCAAAAGAAGTGTACTAAACAGGAAAACAGTCATAATTGTCAATAAGAGTAATTGATGTGACTTTGACATTATTAATCACGAACCTTGGCTCTGAAACATTAAATTACGTTTGTGAGAGATTCTAGTATCATATACGATGCACCTTTCAGGCGTTGAAAAATAACATTGGAGTAACATTGTACTCAAGATAAAATGTGAACATAATTTGAAAACTTAATATCATAGGCGACAAAACCATATGGGTTGACTGGGGCATAGAAATGTGGTTATGCTTGGACTTCTTGTGTCCAGCAGTAATATAAGACTTCTCCGTTTGACTGTTTTGGATTTATAATTACGTAGTATCATCCAATCGGAATTGGAATGGTAAATCCGATGACCAGCAAAGTGTGAGTACCATACTCTCTGTACTTAACAGAACCCTTAGAATAACTCTCTGATTGGTCCGCAGGTGGATTTAGTGGATTTAACAAGTGAACATCGAGGAGATCGGGGAACAGTAGTGCTGTTACAATTAAACTCATCATAGATGCCAGGATTGAAATTGTGTACGCCAGACGCGCGTTTCGTCTTAAAAAGACTCATCAGTGACGTCACGCTCGGATAAAAAAAGAGTTAAAAAGGCCAAATAGAGTATGAAGTTGAAGAGTATTGAGGACCCAAAATTCCTAAAAATAAAACATTTTCGAAATATAGAAAAAGAGGGGCAGAATACAGATTTCGATCCGGAAAATTAACAACGTTTGAGAACTTTATTATGAAACAAACATTACTGACCAACTTGAATGAACATATACTTAACCAACAGAAACTGAAAATATAAAGAATGAAATCATTGATACAGATGTGTACTGTGTGGCTTTAAAAACAAACTAGAGGTGATAAAAAGCCTGTATATTGAAAAATACCAAATATCTCATAATCCTATGCACAGTAAAAGCAAACGTAATGTCAGAAATTTTTCGCAACTGAAGGGTTGTATTTTTGACAAAAATTTCTGAAAAGCCATCATCAAAAATACCACGATTATTCAATCTAAACTCTATCTGAATATCATTCAAGTATATATAGGAGAAACGTGATAGAAGTCAAATGTGGATCAGAGCACCTGATATCATCCCCCACCCCTTGTTTTGGTGGGGCTCTTGGTTGCTCAGTCAAAGGTATATAGGGTTTTGTAGTCTGTTGTTTGTCTTGTCATCTTTTTTTCTTTTGATTGCCATGATTTTGTCTGTCTCTCTTCAACTTATGAGTTTTGAATCTCCCTTTGCTAATTTTCTGTCTCTTTTTAACATATCATGGCACATCTCAATACCAGCTGACACATCCATACTTGTGACATTCATTTATTACCATCTTAATTTTGATCTGGACAAACTTGTTTAGAGGAATCCTTCAAAACTAATTGCTTTTAGACTAAATATTATAGAAATTACAAAAAGAAGCTGTATAACAAAGGGACAACAAAAAAAGTCAAAGATCTAGAGAAACTGACTAGAAAAACAAAAAGACAAACAAGTTACAAATATGTATTATTTAGAAATTATTACAATTTCAAAATTTGTCAACCAATAACATATTTTTTTTATTTTCCAACACAAACAATCCATGATTTAGACAAAATATCATAAAAGAGATAAAGACCAAAAAGATAAATTTATTCCAATAGCAAAAGTATATATCATGTATACAGCAGCATGCATACAAAAAGGCAGATCCAGGACAATATAAGGGCAGAATCAATACAATTTCATATCTATCTTAGTATAAATGTTATTTTGTTCAGAAAATTTGACCTTTACCTTTACCATGCACTCGGTCACACCTGCTAGACAATATCTGGATCTGCCTCTCTCTGATAATTATCACAACATCAGCTATCTACAATATTTCATCATCTTTAACAAAGATTAACAAATAATAAACACCTCTTTGTACCTTTAATACTTTGAAACAAAAACAGCTGATAATTAAAATGACTGAATAAAACATCTGAAAATGAATCCTTTTGAAAATGAATACAGGTTCCATTAAAAAAAACTGATACCTCTTTAATACTTTGAAAAAGAAACAGCTAATAAAAAACTGACTGAATAAGAAATCGGAAAAAGAATCCATCTGACATGGGTGCTTTTTTTTTAAGTGTTGTTTTAATCAAAGCAATATTTTAGCTTGGTTTAGAATTGATTGATTGTTGTTTCCTTTGTAAGATCCTGTTTAAGATTTGAAATTTCTTTTAATAGAATGGAAAAAGATTGATGGATTTTCAATATTGCCTATATTTTAAGAAAGGAATATTAGTGTTTTGTTCTAAGTTTCCATATTCCTGTAAATATGGTAAAGTATTTTAAATTAGAAATATGTCCTGCAATATAATCTTCAAATTGTAAACAAATCAGAACAATATAAGACAGAAAAAAATAATAATCAGAGATAATCAGTGTAAATTATACAGAAATCAGTTATTATAAATGTAGTTCATTGTATACAAGGCACACATATGTATTTTACTGGATATGCATGTAAAACAAAATGAGCATTTTCTGACATAAAATTGAGAATGGAAATGGGGATTATCTTTGATAGAGAAATGATTTAAAGTTACATTTTGAGGACTGTATAATTCTTCATTACAGTATCGAATACTGTCAGAAGTATGTTAACTTAAGAAATAAAAAAAATCCATGTCGGTCATTTAAGTACAAAGTGCTTTGATTTGTTCAGTAACACCAGAAAATAATTATGAAGATGTTTTTATGGGAAATTCTTCATGTTTTTAAGTGTTAAAAATATCAAAACACCACATTATTTTCACCAACAGGAAAAGTAATTGTTTTACAAAAAAGGTAATACTGAATTTGCTATCTGATATTTATATTTATAGAGATAGTGTGATACATCAGGGCAGATAACTCCATGTAATTTAGAATAAATTAAAAGATTTTTTGTCAGAAAAAAGCACAAAAGAAAATATTTTCTATGTGAAAAATTACTTTTGTTTGAACATTTGTTATCTTTCAATACAAAAATATACATTCAAATTGTAAAATTATATTTGTTCACTTGTTATAGAAATTTAATCAAAGACATGCTAAAAAACATTTTTTTTAAATTCACACACAATCATGACACTATTTCATTTCATAGCAATATTGATGGTTAACAAAAAACTTTGAGGATTGAATATGTTATTGCAAAATCATAAAAATGAAGTACTAACCATAAAATACTTGTTAACACGAAAATATTTTCATCTGATTTTATTACAAAGAACTGTAGTACTTTTAGTAAGTAGTAATTTAATTGTCAATATTTCTTAATTTGAATGCAAATATTTATCAACTCCTTGTTCTATTTTTACAGATTGGACCTAAAACCAACAAACAAATTCAAATAACAATGCACCATAATGTTTTTAAATGAAAATAAAGATTACCTTGATTAACAAAATCGAAGTCATGCTGACAGAATAAACAATGACAAAGCAATAAAATTGGAAAAAAATAGTTTGCAGACAGGCAGCATAAAATAAAGAATATTCTTAAATACTAAAAATTTACAGTTAAGCAAACTGTTCTTAATAATATCAATACAGAAGAAATGGAATAGAAGCAGTATACATCACTTTCAAAATTAGTAAATACACTGACAATTGCAAATGACCTAAAACTGTGTGCTTTCATCATGATCATGTTGTTTCAAACATGACAAAACAATTGTTTGAACTTTCTGATTTAAAAAATGGTAATATAATAATATAAATCTGTGCAAAATATTTGTAATTATATGTTCCTGATATTTACTTTAAAAGTATTTATTGTATGAATGCATATTATGAGTTTGATTGGCTTGTAGGACATCATTATTAGGAGAATAAGCTTGAGTTGGATTGATGAGATTAGAATTTGTCACATGGCTATCATCTGGTAATCCAACTTGCATTACATACATTTCATTTGGAAGCTGGATTTGTTGTCCGTCAGCTGATTCCATAATGAGACTGGTTACCGGTGTCAGCTGATGCATGAGAAACTGGTGACGACTATCATCAATCACTCGTATGGGACTATCAGCATGAGAAGCTTGTTGTGGCCCTTTATTTATAACAGAACTAGTATCACTACATGCTTCATCCGTATATGTTGAACTTTCTGTAAATTGGACAGGATAAAGTTGGCTGATATCAGTGCTTTGATTTAGATTTGATGATGGCATCACATTTTCCATTGTTAGAGATTCATTTCTTTGTGGCATCATAAGGTTAACATCATAACCTGGTTTGATAGCAATATCAACATACCGACCATCCCTCCTTCTTTTCTTATCCTCTTTCGTTTCTTTGGAATTAGAAATGTAATTATGTTCGTTGTGTTCAAGTCCTTTATGGGTTTTCATGTGCCGAGCTAATTTACCACTTTCCTTAAAAGATTTACCACAACGAACGCATGGATAGGGTCTTTCATTTGTGTGTGTTCTCATGTGGACTTTGTACTGTGATGCTGAGGCAAACTTCTTCTCACAAACTTCACATCTATAAAACTTTCCAAAAGCCATAACTTTAATGTCATCTAAACCTGCTTTTAAAGCATGTGATCGCTGATGGGTTCGCCAAGTATCAGGATATTTGAAATCCTTTCCGCACTGTTCACATCTATAATTGGCATTGTTGCTGTGTGACAGCATATGTTTGGCTAGATTACCTCTTTGAGAAAATGACATTCCACATACATCACACATGTGAGGTTTCAAATTCACATGTGTTCTCATATGGACTTTAAGTGCACCTTGTGCAGACAGAAATTTTCCACATACTTTACACTCATATTCAGTTCGATTGTTGTCATGCGTTCTCATGTGAACGTTGAGTGTGTCTTGTTGTTTAAAACTTTTTCCACATAAATCACAAACAAAGTCTCGAGACCCTGAATGAACTATTTTCACATGTTTGTTCAAACTGTTTCGTGTCTTATATGATTTGTTACAGATATTGCATACATGACTTGTACAAATAATAGAATGGAGTTTACGATGTGTTAGAAGTCCTCTACGTTTTGTAAAAACTTTTTGACAAATTCCACAAACATGTTTGCCATCTTCTGTGACCCATGAATTATATGTTCTTGTAAAATTTTCAGGTTCGTCCAATTGACAGTTATGTAGTTCATAATTTTCTCTATCTGTAAAAACAGCTAGACATGACCGACATTCTAATCTTTTCTTGTGGGATTTCTTGTGTTTGGACATATTTGTTTTTAAATAAAATGCTTTATCACATATCTGGCATTTGTGTTTTGGTGCCTCATGAAATTTCACATGTGATTTGAATGTATCCTGACGATGAAATAATTTACCGCATTTTTCACATTTAAACGTCTTTTTGGTAAACTGAATGGTATGATATTTCATATGCTTTGATTTCATATGCTTTCTTAATTTAAATTTTGTTTTAAATGTTTTTTTACAGCAAGAACAAATTATCTTTGTTGAAGTGTCTGCTTTGTGTTTGACAAGATGCTGTTTTAACAAGGAGCTAGAATCAAACATTAGGAAACAAGTCTTACATTCAAATTTGTTATTCTTGTTTTTGCCATGCTTTCTATCTTGCTTTTGACTTTTACCAATATATTTTGACTTGCTCATCTTTCTATTAACTAAAGGTGATTTTGAATTTTTCATCGTCAGAATTGCTTTTGATGTCTTGCTATCATCTGTTTCATCATCTTCCTGTGCTTTCATTTTTGTAAGGCGCTTTTTTGGATGAGGGTATTCTTTGATATTTTGAGGTGTGGTATTAGTCTTTGTATTTTCTTCTTCAATGCTTTTTAATTCATCCAAGCTTTTATCAACAACTTGAACAGCATTTTGCACGATTTTTTCAATGTCATAGTTTTCCGTTACATCAGATTCAAATCCATTTGTCTCACTGTTATTATCTGAGAATTCAATAGTTGTTCTTTTGTTGGCTGAATTATTTTGCTGATCTTTTCCACCTTGATTCTCATTGACTTCAGAAGAGCAAACTTCGTCAGCTTTGTTTGGATTTATTTCTTGTCCAGATTTTGCAGCAGGAACACTTAAACTGCAAGCTGCATCTATAATACAATATTGAATATTAATTAACCATCACTTTGGTAAACAAAAGTTTCCAGCTTTAATTTGATGACTTGTTTTAATTTAATTTAATTTTTCTTAGATTATATTTTGAATTGTTTAAGTTATATTTATTGTTTCACATATTCTGACACTGACCACAATAAAAGGCGGATTATATGTGAAAAAGTTTAACTATTTTCATGATTAATTAAACTAAATTAACCTATTTACATATATTTGTACCTGTCCAAAGTCAAGAGACACACAACTGTTTATTTTTTTCTTTTTTAGTCTTATTTATAATAAGATATTTCATAAGAAATCTCAGGTATTTCTAATGAGTTGTTTAATAATTAGTCTTTATTAAGGGATTTTATTTTGATTTTGATTTAATAAAATAACAAAAGGTACATAAAAGATCAAGTTAAACGGTTTTAATTTATAAAAATTTATATTTTGACATTACAGATGACAAAAGTATAGGTACAAGAAAAATTCAAGAGTATTAAAGTATCAGAAAAAAGGGAGAGGCTAATGAAAACAATCTTATAGTACATAATGTACCTCACCTGATAAAAGGAAATCATGCTATCTTACATTCTTGAATCAGCCACTGTGTATTTGAGTAGACTTGATAAGCAATCATTAACAATGCAGGAAGACCAAATCTTGTGCAATGCTCAAAGTAAATTCATGTGCAGAATTCGATTGATTGATTGATTGTTTGGTGTTTTATGCCACTTTTAGCACTATTGGCTATATTGTGATATTTAGTTTTTTATTGGAGGAGGAAGTCAGAGTGTCCTAAGAGAACCACCAACCTTCTGCAGGAAAAATGACTATCCTAGTAAATAAAGATTGGAGGTGCAGAATTCGACACAGAACTAAAATATTTTCAATGTTCATTGTTAATCCTTCATTTGACAGTCATTGTATTAACAAAACCATGGTATTCTCTGCATTTTTTGCAGGCTAGGCAAATCTTTAATACAAGTTCCTTAAAACTTGACTTACATACATTAACATTATTGACTTAAATAAGAGGATATTTGCTGGTGGAAAAAGACTTTAAATTACTGCCACAAATCTATCCATGTGCTAAATTAGTTTGAGATCATTTAATTATTTTTTGTGTTCTATCTTTTCATATTAATATTGTGTATTGTTATATTTATTTATTGATTTACAAACCTAACAAGACAAAAGTGATACTGGATTACTGTTAATTAACTTACTGTAACAATGTTTAACAAATTCCTGCATTACACTGGTATTTTGATTCATAAATTGTCTCCCTTCAGTAGATCCAATGTAATTAGATGTCTGTTTGTAAGGATTGGCCATAATCATCACAAACTCTTCTCCATAATCAGTCAATTTCAAACACTAAAACATAAAACAAGTATATTAGAGATATACATGTATATTAAACACAATCTTGCTAGGTTCAATTGCTCTCATCATGATCATCAGTTCAAAATATTGTAAACTTTTCAAATTTTTTTTCATTGTAAGGGAATCCCAGAACCCTGTGTCTCACCTGTGACTGCTGCTGTCAGTGTAAAAGTGTAAATATGTTGACTGCCAAACTTGAGACTACAAAAATCTAAATTCTGTTTAGGGTGCAGAGTGCTATCTCTTGACTATGAAGGATTCTTCAAATTTCATAGTTTAACAAAGTTATTCCAGTTATAAAATCCTAAAAAAAAAGACTGTAGAGATATGTCTCCCTTTATTGCAAAAAAAATGGAGAATGTGTCCATGGGACACAGATGATGCCCACCCTTGCATATAACATTATAAAGGGAAATATCTCAAGAACAGTAAAAGTGATGCCACCCAAACCCGAACTTGATCTGTGTTTTGTGGTAATAAGCATTATATATAATTTTCATAACATTTGGTTGAGGCAAAACTAAGTTAGAGAACAGAAACGAAAAATTCAGCAATTTTTCAATTTGTAAAGGGGAATAACAGTAGAACCGTAAAAGTGATGTCACCCAAATTCACTCTTGATCTGTGTTTTGTGGTAAAAGCATTAGGTATAAGTTTTATAACATTTGGTTGAGAGAAACTAAAGTTGGAAACGGAAACTAATTTTGGGACGTAAGGATGTACAAGGGTAACACTTTAATGCAGTGGGGGCATAAAAAACAATATACAGAATATTTCAGGTTTCCTCAGACCAAGGAAAATTGAAATGAAGGTCTATAAAACAAATAGGTTCCCTGTTTTATACAATGAAATGTTTTAAACTTTGATTGCTATTTTTCTTTCTATTCCAGTTCTTTTACAACATTAATGTTTTCATAGCTTTATGTAATAAACTGTTAACACAGAGATATGTCTCGCCTTTTTGTAATTTTGATAATGCAAATGTTGAAATTAAAGTAGCAATACTTTAACATGTAAGTTATGCAAATATTCAAAGCCAATGAACCATGACTGCAGGTACATGGCTTAACAATCTCCATGGAAATGAGATGTGCCAATGCTAATGCAACTGCATACCAAATAACATTGACTTATCATAAGTCATTCCCTTTAAACAAACCTTAACACAAACATTAACTTGTAAACTATGTAAAAGTTTCAAAGTCAATGAACCATGATGGAGGGGATGGAGCTATATAATCTCCATGGAAACGAGACTTGCAAATGCCAATAAATTTGCATACAAAATATCATTGACTTTACATTAGTGGTTCATCTTGAACTGATCTAATCACAAACTAATACATGTAAACTAAGCAAAAGTTTCAAAGTCAATAGACCATGACTGAGGGGGCGAGGCCAAATATTCTCCATGAAAATGAGATGTGCCAATGCTTATATAACTACATACCAATTAACATTGACCTACTACTAATGGTTCCCCTTGAACTGACCTAACCACAAACTAATACATGTAAACTAAGCAAAAGTTTCAAAGTCAATAGACCATGACTGAGGGGGCAGAGCCAAATAATCTCCATGGAAATGAGATATGCCAATGCTTATACAACTGCATACCAAGTATCACTGACCTTTCTAGTGGTTCCCCATAAACTGACCTAATCACGAACTAATACACATAAACTAAGCAAAAGTTTCAAAGTAAATAGACCATGACCGAGGGGGCAGGGCTAAATAATCTCCAGGGAAATGAGATATACCAATGCTATTACAACTGCATACCAAATATCATTGACCTACCACTAGTGGTTCACCATAAACTAGACCTAATCACAAACTAATACATTGTTGACGCCGCCGCTTCCAACACCGGAAACAGCATACATACGTCTCGTTTTTTTACTCTGTCAAGGCAAGACAAAAATCAGTTCATTCTAATTATAATATATACTCATTAAGGAGGCGTTTTGTTTCAGATAGACTTATGTTTACACTTTGTACTTTAGACTATACATATGATAGAAATTAATGACTTTTACTGCAGAATAATCTGACCTACCATATTTTCAATAATCTGGAATATTGTGGTCAGCTCAAGTACACTCTTTCCTACATTTAGAGGCTCCCTTTGGGATGACTGTCTATTATTATCTGTACTACTAGTATCTTCAACAGATAGGCCACCTATAAAGAGAAAAAAATAATTATGGTAGACACATATTAAAGGAGTAGGACAAGGAAGGCCTAAAGTTTGACATAAAAATGAATACACGACATATCAACAGTTACACTAAAAACCAATAATAACAATCTGAAATATGCAAATTAAAAAAAAAAATTTAAACTGTTATTATTGCTTCACTTTTTGCTATACCTTTTATAGGTTACCAAATGGTATAGGTTTTGAACATTATCATAAGGTGGTTTGTAGTTGTTGTTGTTCACATACTTTTTTTGTTCTATGGTGAATAGTTGTCTCTTTGGCAATCATACCACATCTTATTTTTGTATTGTGTTTACTGCGTGTTTTAGACTGTGTCATATGTTAATACATTAGCTTCAAATGTTTGATATTGTTCTAGTATCATCTATATATATATATGTAAAACTGGACTCCATGCATTACATTAACCAATTAATTTTGATTACTCTCAACTAACTTTCATCTCCAATGATCTGTTGTCCTGCAATTTCCAGGATACTTTTCCTCTGTACATCTGGCAGATTTTCACTTCTCTGGATATCATTTCTGTTACACTCCACTTTGTCATCCATTTTGTTCTAACCTTAATTGGAAAACGGGTATACATATTAAAATAGTAATGTATAACAACTGCACAATATCTTTTGAAAAAGATAAGTAAATGTGAGATTTTCATTTGAGCTTGAGTCTTCCAAAGTACACATAGGATAAAGACAAAAGTCTGGCAGAATAGGTATGACAGGGGGACTTCAATAATATTTCCCCTCCCCCTTTTTCATAACTTTTTAAAATTAATTAAAAACTGAATAAATGTATAATAAAATATTAGCCTTTATGATTCTTAATTCCAATAATTGGACCAATGAAATAGCTCTTTTGCTCTTTCTTTCTTTGTGAAAAAAAATGTAACCCCCCTCCTCCTCACTCATAATTAAGTACCTATGTTCCATTAGTAAAGCGGTATCTGCTTTAAAATACCCTTCTGGAACACCTGAGATTATCATTGGTTTTTGTTGGAGAAGGAGTTGCTCAGGTTCTTAGTTTTCTTTGGATTGTTTTGAAGACTTGTTTGTCTTTTCATCATTAGTTTTTTTGGTCATGGTATAATTTTGTGTGTTTTCTTGGACAAGATTTTTTGTACCTTTGGAATCAAGAACTCTCCTGTAATTAAATCCATCAGAGTTAAAGTTTGAAAACATGATAGATGATACAAATCAAATAATTTTATTGGTGTAAATTCAAATACATGTACCAGAGGTGGATTTGGGTGGGTGGGTGATGGGGGGGGGCTCAGGGGGCCCGGTCCCCCCTTTTGTTGGAAAAATTTGGTTGATTATATAGGGAATCACTGAAGCATGATTGGAGCGGGCCCCCTCTTAGGCAGTCAGTGATGATACCTGCCACTACAAGCTGACATATAATTTACAAAATACAAATACAAAAATAAACAAAAACAAAAAATAAAAACAAACGTAAAGAGACATATTTTCTAAATGATAAAAGACAAATATTTTAGTTTTACATTGCGAGGAGGTGTTTCATTCTTTATTAACAAGAAAGTACAATAAGCTTTTTCTTTACACCATTATTTGTTTAAGGTATCATATTCTAGCTACATCATAGCCAGATATATACATGTATAAGTACAAAGTTCTTTATTTTCCAATAAAGGGCCCTTTAAGTGACAAAATGACAATAATACACAATACATCCTCATTCATAACACATAAAAATGTATTGATGTCTCTGGCTACATCTACACCTGTACAGTATCATTACTTTTCAAAATGAAACTATTTCTTCTTGATTAGACATATTAACATGATTAATTAAAGATAGTAATTTGATGCTTATGTCAATTTTGTCATTAGACATGTTCACATTAAATAATCACTGTGTGTTTAGAAATTTTATTTAAGGGCATATGATACAGTTACAGGTGAGATAATCATACGTCGCTAACGTATTTTATTATTTTTCGTGATGCCAAACTGTGACATATATTAGGAAAAGATGCATTTTTCAACTCATTTTTATCATCTAAGCTTGAATTCTTTTTTCGAATTTCGGGATGTCGGGATTTAAATTTGTTTAAATTCGGGACCTCGGGATTCCATGTTTTTAAGCCCGGGATTTCGGGATCAGGACCCCTCCTACCCCCCCCCCCCCCCCCCCCCCCCCTTAAATTTGGAGTAAATTTGTCTTAATTTTTGACATCATTTACTTCTAAAAGTAGCACATGAAGGTATATTTTTTATTACATATTTAAATTGACTAAGTGAAAAATAGCTTGTATGCAAATTTTCGTAAAATAATCACCGTGGGATCAAAACTGTATCGTATGCCCTTACAAGCCCTCATCGAACCTCGATAAAATTAGTCACTGAAAGGTCATGGTCATTCCTGTTCTGGCCTGGTGTAAATTATAGAATTTTAAAATGCATCAATATACACATGATTTGTTTCGATGACTTGTCGTAAAAACCCAAATTTTCATGTAAACGGTTACAAGTACAGAACATGTGTATGTTTGATAATGTAAACATTATTCATGCAAGTGAAAATTACTACTTTTTACCCATGAACCTGTCTTTGTTTTCATTCGTCAATAGATGGCGCTGTACATATCCTGTCTACTGCAATGGGGCACACGGAAGGCATCGGTGCGATCTTGCAGACGAGTCAGCATCTCCCGCAAAGTAGTGGGTCAGCAAAATGATATGTTTTCGCTTTTCTTTTGACATAGTTATAAAAGGGCTGATCTATTAATAAATGAAATTAATAAATGTGTATTATTAATTGTTATTAATGTACTGGAAGTTCAAGTTCAAAGAATTTTGTCACACGTCAACTGCATGGTCTTGCTTTATACCAAGTGCGTCACAAGAAACTTAGGGAACTACCATTTAACTTCAAAGGGGAAGGGGGGTATGGTTTTTATGCCCCCGCCGTAGCGGAGGGGACATTAAGTTTTACCCTAGTCCGTCAATACGAACGTATATGTACGTCCCAAAATTGATCAAAATTGGTTTCCGACGGTTCTCTTTCTTTAGTTTGCCTCAACCAAATGTTATGAAACTTATACACAATGCTTATTACCACAAAACACAGATCAAGTTTCAATTTTGGTGGCGTCGCTTTTTATACCATTCTAGAGTTAAGCCCCTTTGCAAATGGAAAAATTGCTTAATTTTTCGTTTCCATTCTCTGCCGAGGGGGTGGACAGGGGGTACCTAGCTTCTCCCACCTCCCGCCCCTATCTCCCACCTCCCACTTTTAGAATCTTTTTTTCTCTCCCACCTATTTTTTGTCTCGCACCTCCCTCAAAAGCTGTCCACCCCTCTTCTCTAACTTAAGTTTACCTCAACCAAATGTAATGAAACTTAATATGCACAATGCTTATTACCACAAAACTCAGATCAAGTACAAATTTGGATAGCGTCACTTTTACAGTTCTTAAGTTATAGTTATCATATGCAAGCGGAGGCATCATCTGTGTCCCATGGACACATTCCCCATTTATTTACTAAAAAAATATTTTGATTCCGATTTGATAAAAACGAAAAATATTCTGGTCAACATGCTCAAGCCATAGATATAATAGCCATAGATAAAGTACTGAACCCACATCAAAAGCAGATGATATTTGCCGAAATTTTTTCACCCTCTTATTATATACATGTCACGCTTGGTGTTAATTAGCCTTCATTGGCAATTGCCGTCTATCGATATCTAATAAATTGTGAATCGGGAGAGTAATATGTCATTCTTCGGACAAGTTCGGTATTTATCGTTATTTTCCGGTACATCATTTTTTTTTGGAATGTTTATATACGTGCTTAAAATACAAGTCAAAGTGATCGATGTATAATTACATTGTTCTTATAAGTCCTGAATATTCATCAAATATTTTCCACCGAACGTTGTGAAATCAACGATCATATAATAAATCACAGTAATAGAAAATACACAACTAGTTTCATACCAAACCAAAGAAGTTATAAAAATAAAGTACACAAAAAGTACGTTGACAACTAAACGGGCAGAGTTACGGAGGGTTATATAGCCGTATTTATAGTACGAATAACACCCCTAACACAATTCTAAGAAGGATATATATTGTTTACTTCAAAAATGAAATCGACAATCGGATTAAACCATCCGCTATTTAATTGCAAAACAAGCAACAACAAAAATGTAAGCGGAAAAGTATTATATATATAAAAGAAAAAAAATCAGAGACATGATAATTGTGCTATTTCCCAATTATTTAATGTATTCAGTATGTCCATCACTTACGTTTTCTTCACCAAACGGCGTTTTAAAATTTATAATGTATTCATTTTTTTATCTTTATTTTTGAAAAACTTCGTGTTACCGTTACGACAGAAAGTTTCAACACTTTTTTTGTGTTCTAAAATATAATAATTTCGTTTTTCTGGTCTAAAATGTGATTATACTGTTTTGAATCTCGATAAGAAAGAATTGTCTTTAACTCGCCATAGAAAAATTCGACCAGGTTCGACCTCTTAACCACGTATACCATCAGTAGTTGATATGTCTCCTCTTGTCAATCATACAGGTCTTATTTCCCGAGTGCAACCGATGCAAGTGCTATGGCAATTTAATTTTACGTGCCTGTCAAGTCCATTTTCCATAATTTCTCTATTCTATTATTTCAACAACAGCATAACCTTTTTATTTGTTGACCGATTTTCTCCAAATAAATTACAATCCGAACAGTTTTTACAACCAGACGCTTTTCATTGCTACCGCCTCACGGCATATTTTTACTTGAGACAGGTAACGCATATTAATTATCAGCTGATAAGACGCGTGCCCGATAATTTAAATATAATTATGATAAGAAATTAGTCTATTGGGAGGATGTCGGCAGATATCATCTACATCACAGGAAACTACATGGGGCTCAGTGTGATATATTCTGAGTACTTTATCGATGGCTATTATATCTATGCTCAAGCAGATGACTAAAAAAAATATTCTGAAACTATATTTTCCCTATACCTTATAGTGTTAAATATTGAAAAAATAATTTGATTGATAGTGTTGAAAAACTAAATAAAATAGATCGCGCTTTGCGCGAAAAAAAATTTCTGACTCCGAAAAAAAAACCATAACCCCCCCCCCCCCCCTTGAAGTTAAATGGTTGCTCCCTTAGGTCTAATTGCAATTTGTCAAACAGATTTTTTGTTGTGCCCAATGCTGCTACTAAGTAGCAAATCAGAGGCGAATTGGGCCGGGGGGGGGGGAGGGGGGGGGTATGGTGCCCGGTCCCCTTTTATGGAGCTACATTTATGGTTAATCCAGACTTTTTATCTATACCACCCCAAATTTTGTGTAGTTTGATCTAGTTTGGGGCCCCGTGGCCCCCTTTTTAGCTGACCGGAGCCCGAAGGGCCACATGTGAGCTTAAGCCATCACTTGGCGTCCGTCGTCGTCGTCGTAAACTATTTCAAGAATCTTCTCCTCTGAAACTACTGGGCCAAATACCTTCAAACTTTAACTGAATGTTCCTTAGTGTATCTAGTTATTGCCCTTGAAACGTTTTTTTTTTACATTTTTTTATGCAAGTCTATTTCTTTTTCAAAAATCTTTTCTGAAACTACTGGGCCAAATATACTTCCAAACTTTAAATGAATGCTCCTTAGGGTTTCTAGTTTATAAATTGTATCCGAAGTTTTGATCCATCAACAAACATGGCCTCCATGGCTAAAAGTAGAACATAGGGGTCAAATGCAGTTTTTGGCTTATATCTCAAAAACTAAAGCATTTAGAGCAAATCTGACACGTGGTAAAAATGTTCAATAGGTCAAGATCTATCAGCCCTGAAATTTTCAGACGAATCGAACAACCCATTGTTGGGTTGCTGCCACTAAATTGGTAATTTTAAGGAAATTTTGCAGTTTTTGGTTATTATCTTGAATATTATTGAAGATAAAGATAAACTGAAAACAGCAAAAATGTTCAGCAAAGTAAGATCTACAATTTTTTTTTTAAATACTCAATTGACCCCTTAGGGAGTTATTGCCCTTTAAGGACAATTTTACACAATTTATTCATCACATTTGCTAACATTTAAAAATGTTCTCCTCTGAAACTACTGGGCCGAATACTTCTAAACTTTAACTGAATGCTCCGTACGATAACTGGTTTATAAATTGTATCCGAAGATTTGATCCATGTACAAACATGGCCGCCATGGCTAAAATTGAACATAGGGGTCAAATGCAGTTTTTGGCTTTTATCTCAAAAACTATAGCAGTTAGAGCAAAAGTTACGGAGTTAAAGTGATGAATAAGTCAAGATCTATCTGCTATGAAATTTTCAGACCAATTGGACCACCCATTGTAGGGTTACTGTCCGAAATAGTTTATTTTTATGAAATTTTACTGTTTTTGGTTATTATCTTTAATATTATAATAAATAGTGTAAATAGCAAAAATGTTCAGCTAAGTAAGATCTACAAATAAGTCAATTGATCAAAACAGTCAATTGATTCCTGAAGGAGTTATTGCCCTTGAAACGTTTATTTTTTACATTTTTTTTGTGCAAGTCTATTGCTTTTTAAAAATCTTTTCTGAGGATACTTCCAAACTTTAAATGAATGCTCCTTAGGGTATCTAGTTTATAAATTGTATCCGAAGTTTTGATCCATCAACAAACATGGCCGCCATGGCTAAAAATAGAACATAGGGGACAAAAGCAGTTTTTGGCTTATATCTCAAAAACTACAGCAGTTAGTTCAAAAGTGAAAGAGATTTAAAGTAATAAATGGGTCATGATCTATCTGATATGAAATTTTCAGACGAGTTCGACAACCCCATTGTTGGGTTACTGTTGGAAATAGTTTATTTTTATTAAATTTTACTGTTTCTGGTTATTTTCTTTAATAATATAATAGATAGAGAGAAAGTATAAATGGCAATAAATGTTCAGCTAAGTAAGATCTACAAATAAGTCAACATGATCAAAATAGTCAATTGACGCCTTGAGGAGTTATTGCCCTTAAAACGTTTTTTTTAACATTTTTTGTGAAAGTCCAATAACTTTTTCAAAAATCTTCTTCTCTGAAACTACTAAAATGAAGTCAGTGTCAATAGAAACCTGTCGGACTCATAATTCCATACATCAAATATAGTTGACGTACCTACTGCTTACAGTATCAGAGGAACGGACATAATCACGCGTAACTTTAACCTTAATCACTGATCCATGAAATGAGGTCGAGGTCAGGTATATAGACTTTACAAGGAACCCTAATACCAAATAAATCTATCCTATTACTCATAATAAGTGAGAAATTCACATGATAAAGAAAACTAAAAAAAAAATGCAAGCAGTCGCTGAACCATATATATGAGGTCAAGGACAACAGATATAGGACAGACGGAAACTTCGTAACATAAAGTATATGTATACAAGGTAGGAAACCTCCAGGTCTTCTATCCTCTGAAATATAAAGCTTAATCTGCCCCCATGGCTTCTACTCTCTGAAATATATAGCTTAATCTTCCCCCATGTCTTCCACCGTCTGAAATATAAAGTTTTATCTTCCCCCATGTCTTGCTTTTTGCGTTTCTTCCGGTTATCTGGCAA